ACCTTGAAGGCTTTGTCCGAATCCCGTGTGTAGGCCTACTGCGTCTCAGCTGTTTACAATTTATTTATTAATCACTTTCAGGTCACATATAATATTATTGTCAGATGTTTGTACCTAGTCTTTCTATTTTATTCAGCTAAATTCAAGATTTAGCTGCATTAATAACATGTATCCACAAGGAGGCGATACACACTATGAAATAAGCATACATCTACCAAATATAGAGTAAAAGAAACCACTGATGAGACTGCTTTTGAAATCATTTATAGAACAAGGCAATTGTATAGAAAGTTTGACTGTTATGTTGGTCAATTTGGATGTTATGGGCAATTACTCTCATGTAGGCCAGTGTTATAAATTGATACTGTTTTTGTATGTTTTTTTAAAAAGGTTTTGAGTCTAAAACTCCAGTTTAGTCATGTCTAAATTATCTTTCTCTGTTCATCTAGATGACTGTTTTCTTCAGTCATTCTGCAGCAATTATTGACATCAGTAATGACAGGTAGTGCTGCTCTACACTCTGCTGTTAGATTCTTTCTTCACTGAACAGAGGCTGATCATTTCTACACACAAAGACAAGTTTCCTCTTCTAAAATCGTTGACAACCTATTCTTTGGACTGTCTATTCATAACTGTTAATCACGAGCCTGAAAATAGTTTGCAGGTCGATATCATATTCAAAACTGAGTGCTGAATCCAGTTTGTGAGTCAAAAGCAGATCACTCTTTAAACTGACCTTCAGGAAATCAAGTTCACTGACATTAAAGAGACAGTTCGGTCAAAACATTCTGTCATCATTTACTCACCTTCATGTCGTTACTTACAAACCATGACCTAATATCTTCTGTGAAGATGATGTTTGGAAGAATTTTTGGAAAACTTTGTTTGTAAACATAATGGAAGACAGTGATCTCCACAACAACATTAGACCACAGTGAGTTAATATGGAAAGAAAAAAGCATATTTTTCAAAATCTCTTTATGGGGCAAACATAAAACATTTGAAGTTTTTTGTCTTAATGCAAAAAGATCCACTTGTCTTGTGGATCCAAATAAAATAATAAAATGTGTGTGTGTGTGTTTGTCTGTTTTATAGTTTTACTTTCTCATTACATTTTAGTTTTATTTAACTTTTAGTACGGCTCTGTTTGAAAATTGTTAATAAAACATTGTTTTTTTCCCTTGAGAAGGTGCTAAAGGTGCTAAAAGAAGTAAATCTACATTTTAGCACTTTCAAAATCTATAATTAATGTTGATTAATTGTTATTAAATATTTTAATTGACCGATTAATTATTATTTTCAGAATTTTCAAATTCCATGCGAAAGAAACTACTAACTCCAACTGACAACTATTATATATTGTATGTCTATCCAACTTACCCGTAAACAGAAGATGGTGATCCTCTGAAAGGAACATCAGGCCAATCTGCTGCTGTCCAGAATCAGGCGGTTTGTCTTCTTCTGGCATCTCAGCTGAGACCTGTCCACTATGGGTGACCCTACAGTAGCTGTGAAGTGACGTAGCTCTCAGCATTACCGAGGCACACAAGCCCTCACAGCACGTCAAGCTGCAAACCATGTGAGGGACCCTAACCTACCCTAACCCTGTTTAAAACAACCGCATGTCAACCACTTACTCAAAACATCCTGACAACCACATAGCAACGCATAAAAATCAAACAGAGGAGTCCAGCAACCGCAATGCAACACGCTAACAACCGTGCAGAAAACCTTGGCAAATGCAAGTCAACACACAGGAAACCACCAAAAACATCCTGACAACCACGTAGCAAAGTGCTAAAAGCCAATTAGAACAACAGAGGACCATAAAACACTGCATTGACAATCACCAAAAACATCCAAACAATCACACAGCAATGTGATGAAAACTAGGGTTAGAAAATAAAACTTACTCTATAACTATGTACAATATATACAGTATTTACAAATGTAGGTCCCACTGTGTGATGCTCCATGAGACACTGTGATGACTCAGTGTTGCTCAGGCAGAGGTTCTTCACTGACGTTCACGTGGATTTGTGGAGCGAAGCTTCTGCTGCTTGTGAAGCTCTCAGTGATGAAGACGCGTCCATCTGGCTGCTCTGGCTCCAGCAGTGAAGGGCAGCTGAGCGTCTCACACAGGCACTGCTTGATCTTCAGCCCCAGCTCAAGGCTGTAGGGACGCTGTTGACCACAGTGTGTCTTCATCATGGGCTCCACAGAGCGGTAAATGTCCTGGTAGTCCTGCACACAGCAGCCGTGGATGGAGAAGGGATCTTCCTGCTGACACAGAGACTTCAGACACTTGTCCACTGAAGAGACTGAGGCTGCTGGACGGATGTCAGGAAAGACCGCAGTTCTTCAGGTAACGTTAGCGCTCTTCCAGTCTGTTGGGTCTGTGATCTTTGGCAGAGATGCAGCTGTAGGTGTGATCTAACCTGATTACAGCTGCCAGCTGTGAAAGCTCACGGGCCTCTTGAATGAAAGAGACGCTCTCCACCAAGAATCCCCTCAGGTGTGTGGAAAGAGCCCTGCTTCTTCTGGGGCGAGTCTGCTGCTCCATGAAGATGCCTGGAGAAACACTTTACAGATTTGACAAATTGATGAAACTCACCCAACTGTAGAGTTGAAGAGCTTGTAGCACGTGTGATCAGCTTCAAGGCTTCAGGGACAGTTTGTTGATTTCAAAAATCAACTAAATCTGCTGTTATTGACAGAATGTAGAGGCTCATTTAAATGTAAACAACACTTGACATCAGCAGTAAGTCAATTAGAGCAGCTTGAGCTCTATGTTACATGTACTTTATGCTTCTCTATTACCATTATCATCTTTATTTACAGTTTTACATATATATTCCTCATCTGTGTGTGCACGTAGTGGTGTCTGTTAAGGTCAGCATCACTGTTAGGAACTGCTCTGTTAATTGTTCATGAGTGAATCTGTGTGTTGAACAAATCTTTTAATGATTCTTTCACATTTACATTTACATTTAGTCATTTAGCAGACGCTTTTATCCAAAGCCACTTACAAATGAGAACAATGGAAGCAATCAAAATCAACAAGAGAGCAAAGATATGAAAGTGCTATAACAAGTCTCAGTTTCACTGAATCATATTTATGTTCATTAAAGTCTTTTCCTTTTTAAGTGCTTTGGTGTCATTTCCTGCCTTCACAGACGACTGTAGCACAAGTTGTTAAGATTTGACGTGACCATACGTGCCATTTTCCCAGGACGCGTCCTGGCCAGGATTTGTTTTGGCTTTGTTTTCCTGTTTTCATGCTTGCTGAAGGTAATGATCGAAAAGTAGTTTGACCAATAACATGCAAGCATTGTACATAATGGACCAATCATGGCGTGTGAGAAGGTGGGATCTACGGTCAAAGCGATGCAATTACGCGTACATATTAAGGGGCGGTCACACTAGACTTTGAACGTGCGAATTTTTTTCGGACGCCGCTGCGTATATGGGCGGGAGCACAATATGACATCACGCGCCAAGGTTTCCCCTCAGTTATCACAACATGGATTTTATCATCATTACAAATAGAAGTAGACACTATTTACGAAGAGAAAGCAAGAGGTGCTTTTATAAGATCAAGGCAAATTTGGTTGGAACAGGGGGAAAAGAATACCAAGTATTTTTTTAACCTGGAAAAGAGAAATGGAGAAATGTCTTCATTAAATAAATTATTAATAAATAATATAGTGTCGGAGGATCAGAAGGAGATATCCCAATATGTCACTCAATAACGGACATCATCACATGAAGTTAGACAAGCTACACAAATTAACAAAATATACCAATGATAAAGAAGAAGAAAAAAATAAAGAAAGGAAAGTCTTTTAAAGATAGCTTACAATAGACTCAAGAATGTTACAAGTTTTAGAAGCCTTTGAGTTCAAAGGATTTGACATATTCTTAAAAGAAGTAAAAAGGGACTTTATATCAGATGAAAACATCCTAAAGTTAGGTTTGCAATGAATGGTTCTGGCTTTATGAAGGTGAAATTTACCCAGAAGACAAAGCAATAAAACAATATGGTCCAGATTAATGTCCTTGAAATGAAAATCTGACCAAAAAATGATAGATTCTGTTATTTCTATCATTTTGTTACAGCAGGAAAAAATTAACATGGTAACTTCTGACCAAAAAGACTTGGTGAATGGGCAATGATAAAACAGATGTAGAATAGATTCTTCATCAGTATTACAAAATCTACTGTCAAAGCGATGCAATTACGCGTACATATTAGGTGTTTTCGACTTAAAAGCAGTGCGGCTCAGACCGATCAGTGTTTGACATCAAAGTACCTCGAGAGCGTTTCGAAAGCATAACCGTCTGTATGGTACTTTGATGTCATACACCGATCGGTCTGCACACGCAAACAAAGCCAAAACCTAGATATTTTAGGCAATATAGAAATTCTGGCCAGGACGCGTCCTGGGAAAATGGCACGTATGGTCACCCTATACTAACAGAAGGCTATGTTTTGAGTCTGGTACAGAGACAGTCATGTTTGTGAATTTATATAGGCCTGCATTAGCACATTGTTATTCACTTATTTTTCCAAACATTGTTTTAGCTGACAAAGAAAAAGTCAGGTGGGACAAAATAATTTCTTATTTGTAAATTAATACAAATGTAATGTCTGCATCCACTAAGTACTTTTGTACTTTTACTCAATTTAAAAATAATAATAAATAAATAGAACGGATGCACGCGGCCCTGTACTGTCATGTGATTCTTGTTACTTTTCACAGCGCTAGTCAGATTGGACTAATCACAGTCTTTTCTAATTACTTGGTTATACATTTTATAGATGTAATTCTAGAACTTGCTTAATTTGTGTTTCAGTTTCCATTCCTTAGAACTAGAATTTATTTAAAAATATAGAGTACACAGTTTTAGTAAGACAAAAACGTCTTTGTTTTGAACGTGCGACTTAGTGGGCTATCTGCCTTTCTGAGCCGCCAAGCGCCCCCTGGAGGAATCTGGTTTTAGAAACCGCTAGCGAGCAACATTTGCTGCACGAAAACTATTCTTTCACAACACCTAACAGAGGAAAACAGCCTTTTCAGTGTTTAAACGCGTCAGCGTTTTCATTGAACATCTGAGCCACATGACCACAAGTCTATCTGTCATGTGAATGCTGCCCATATGACACGCAGCGTTTCCTGTTCAGCTGAATACAGACGGTCGGTATAATCATTAGAAAACTGCATTCGCGCACATATGCACTTTAAAACCTTGCAAGTCCATAGAATGCAATACACTTCAATGGAATAATGCATTCAGACTGTATTTTTGAAAGCCTAATTTTTCATACGAAGTCAAACAATGGCAAACAAGTACTCTAAAAGACACACGAAACAAAACGCACTGGAAAATGAAACTGAGCAAGCATCACTTGCACTGACTGTAGAGGTAAGTATAACAATAACTGGAAATCACTTTATCAGATTCTCAGTACGTTTATTTGAAGGTTCTATTACACCAAAATGTCTATGTTTCTCTCTCTGTTCATCAGAAGCATGAAAGACAAGGCCAAGTGGAGGTGATCTCTGGGTCAGCATGGCAGGGCTTCAGGAGGAAAGTGTGTCTGCTGGTGCCATACATGTGGCCCAGGGGAAGTGTGGGGTTGCAGGCTCTGGTGATTCTGTGTGTTGGGCTGCTGGGACTTGAGCGGGTCATCAATGTGTTTGTACCCATTTACAGCAGGAATATAGGTGAGACTAGATTCATCTATGCATTTAGAATTCTTTCAAAGTCTGTAGCAATTTCATACACACAGGTCTAGCATGTACATTAATTCTACAGCAGGGACAAAAATGTCTCACCACCCTAAAACGGACTTTGACATATTTCATAATGCTTGTTTCTATGCCTATATAAGTATTATATATTTTAGGACTTATTCAGAAAGTATAGCAGCTGTATTCTATTCACTGTCTCGAAGGTGAAATTATTCATTATTAATCATTAATCAATCAATCAAATTAATCATTATTGCTGTGTAGTTTATATAGTGTTTTTAAATAAGAAATCACCTATTGACTTTTAAAGGACCTCTTGACTTTTTCAGGATTCTTTGCTAAATAGTGATAGAAAGGAACAGCATTTATATGAAATGGAAATGTTTTTTAACAATTAAATTATTACTTTTCTTTACTGTCACTTTTGATCAGTTTAATGCATAATCTGCTGAATAAAAGTATTAATATATTTAAGAACAAATCGTATTGACTGAAAAGTTTTGAATAGTAGTGTATATCAGAATGTGCACTGATATACAGTAGATAATTGAATTATCAAATAAAGAGTCCAGACAATTATTGAAATGTGCTCTAGCAAAATGCTAGAAATTGCAAGAAAACGGGTCCTAGTAAAAAAAAAATTGACAATTGGTTCAGTTTAATTATTTAACATAGAGGGAATGAAAGACTGTTTTGTTATGTGGTTCAGAGAAAAAAAGTCTTCTTAAAGCTAAAATAAAATACCCCTGAAAATAATTTAAAAGGTTCAAATCTGGCCCCTTAATAAAAATAAATAAAACAAAAAAGCCAAAGGATTTGCATTACCATGCATGACCAGTAGAGGACAGCAGCTTTCAACATTTGCCCTGTTACCTGGGAAGGTGAGAGCTGCTCAACCTGCTTTTTTTTTTTTAAAGATGATCAGTAGCTTTTTTTGTGTGTGTGAAGGAATAAATGTTTGAATTTGTTTGCAATAATTAAAAATACATGTCGCTGTGCTGAGGCCCTTTAATTGGTTTGAAACAGATAACCTAATATACCTAAAAACATGTTGATGATTAATATTTGTTGTTAAAAAAACTATATATAAAGGCAGTTTTGAAACAAGTCAAGCATGTATATGCGGTAGTGTTCTTGTGCTTGTGAAGTCGGATTGCCCCTCCCTTGCCAGTTTTCTCAGCTCCTTGTGGGCCAGCTGGATGGGTGAGCAGCCCCCGAAACCTCTCAGAGAAGTCAAAGCCTTTGGTTCACATAAGCCAAGAAGTATCGAACTTTTACAAAAGAAACGTGGGACAAAACCCAACTATGCTAAACTCTTCTGTGGCTCAAGACTTTGTTTCCACCCTTCATTCTCTGCCTCTTTTTTTCTTCTTCTTACTTTCACCACCATTTCTGAAATTCCCTGTCTTGATTCATTTATTCATTCATTCTTTTATCATCCTCGTTCTTTAAGTGTACGTTGTTCATTTGATCTCTTCCTGAAGTTGGTGGTGTGTATGTGCTTCATTATCAGAGACAAGTAACAGCTTTGCATTTGGAGGCACATGAAAGCCATCCTGGGAGAAAAGTGAGCTTTTGTGTGGCAGAGAGAGATTGAGAGGGGTAATAGGGGAGGTCACCAACCCTGCCAGTCACGATTAGGGGGCATTAGGGGCTTTTAGCAGAGTTAACACGGTGGTACAAGGGCGTTTTTGTCCGTAGCTCTCTCTGCCCCCATGCCAAGGATAAAAATCAGCTCTCTCACCATCCATTTCTACGCCCCCAGCTCAACCGAGAGGAAGAGAGTTTTTGCTTTTGCCCTTGGCATTTTCTTGTTTTGTTTTGATCTTTTTTCTCTTTTTTTTTTTTGCTTCAACCCTCCACCTTTTCTTTCCTCGTTTGATTCCGAGTGCACAATCAAAACGGCCATGAATGTAAATGAATCAGATTGAGGATCTTTCTCAGCTCCCAGGACAGACCAGTGTGTTCTCTTTAGATACATTATGCTGTGGCTCCTGGCTCAGACTGCATCCTTTTGGCTATTTTTTTTTTCTTCTGTTTTTGTTGTTGTGGATTCACGTATAAGTCAGTGAGATGGCCGTTTTGGGCAGCTGTTAAATTTTGGTGTATTGAACTGAAGTCATGTGGTTATTCATGACTCAGGATGTTAAAGTTTATAGTCTATGTGTGATTAAAGGGAAGATGCTCTGCACACACTCATTAATAGGAAAACAGCAGAAATGTGTTCACAGTATGTGCTTCCTACACAGAGCCTTGGGGATGTACAGTACATACAATTAAAGGGATAGTTAAGCAAAAATATTACTGTTCAAAAATTTAGGGTCAGTAAGGTTGTTTTTTATATTATTTGTGTCTATAAAACCATTTGTAATGATTGTAGTTCGTTTGAACGTTCTTTTCATTAAAGAATCATGAAAAATGTACCATGGTTTCCACAAAAATATTAAGCAGCGCACCTGTTGTCAACATTGACATTAATAAGAAATGTTTCTGAGCACAAAAACAGCATCTTAGAATGATTTCTGAAGATCATGTGCATTTTTGAGCGAATCCTGACACAAAACAATAACGTGCCAGTTGAGCCAGCACAAGTAGATGCATTCATGTGTTCTCTGTATTTTTGCAATTATAATATTCTAGTGAACCAGCTGTCAGCGATGGAGAGCTGGAGAACCCTGGCCATCACGGTCTGTGTTTACGTCCTCCTTAAGTTCTTGCAGGGCGGAGGGGTAGGTGAGGCTTGACATTCAAAGTCATATTGTAAGGATTCTTTTAAACACTACAGCTTGTTTTATTCTGTACAAACCATTAACTGTCTCTCTCCCCTCAGGGACATCAGGGTTTGTCAGTAACTTGCGCAGCTTCCTGTGGACTTATGTCCAGCAGTACACCAGCCGTGTGGTGCAGGTCCGTCTTTTCACTCACCTGCATGACCTGTCTCTACGCTGGCACCTGGGCCGCCGCACCGGAGATGTCCTGCGCAGCATTGACCGTGGAACCTCCTCAGTCAACAACTTGTTAAGGTCTGATGATTTTCTTTGATTTTAGTATCACCATACTTAAATATGCTATGCAGTAAAATGGTTGACAACTCTTTTTTTTCCATGTTTAAATTAAATGTTCATTGATTTCTTTTACAGCTATATTGTGTTCAGCATTGTACCCACTATTGCTGACATCATCATTGCCATCATCTATTTTGTGACGTACTTCAGTGCCTGGTTCGGCCTCATTGTTTTCATTTGCATGTTTCTCTACCTCAGTAAGTGCAGCACAAACACACTTATTTTCATGTTGTGGATGCTGATAGATTAAAATATGAACAATTACAATGTAGTTTTAATTGTTAATATTTATTATTAATTGTTAACATCAGATATTTTTGTTATTAAGGTGATTAATCACAAATTTCTGAAAGTTGTTGTTAGTACACTACTGTTCAAGTTTGAAAATTGTAAGATTTATTTAATGTTTTTTTAACTTTCAATTATGTTCACCAAGGCTGCATTTATTTGATCAAAAATACAGAAAAAAACAGTAAAATTGTGAAATGTTATTATAATTTAAATTTAAAATAACAGTTTCCTAATTTAATATACTTTAAAATGTAATTTATTCCTGTGATGCAAAGCTGAATTTTCATCAGCCATTACTCCAGTCTTTAGTGTCACATGATCCTTCAGAAGTCATTCTAATATGCTGATTTGCTGCTTAAGTAACATTTAGAATCAGTGTTAAAAACAGTTAATTTTGCTTAGCTTCATTTTTTTTTTTTTTGTGGAAACTGTTTAAAAACAGCATTGATTTGAAATATTTTATAACATGTCTTTACTGTAACTTTTGATCAAATTAATATGTTCTTACAAAATAAAAGTAAAGATTTCTTGAGTAAATATTACTGATTCTGATATCAGTACACAGCAGTGTTCTCAATAATAGTTTCAAAGTCATAATTTTGAAATTGTTACTGCATGTTTCTATAGGATATGGCAGTCAGCAGGCACATTTCGATGGCTAGTTCAGTTTGACGTTTGTTTTCAGCTATCACCATCATTATCACTGAATGGAGGACCAAGTACAGGCGGGAAATGAACACACAGGACAACATTGCCAAGTCAAAAGCAGTGGACTCACTTCTCAACTTTGAAACCGTAAGTGACAAACTGCCATAGCCAAGTTGCCCTAAGTTGGCCATGGAGTGTTGTTAACAGTATTAACATTGAAATATTACAAAATCTGTCTCTATTCAGGTAAAGTACTATAATTCAGAGGGTTTTGAAGTCAGGCGCTTTGAGGATGCTATCCTGAAATATCAGGTAATGGCGATCACTTAACATACTTGGACTTTATAAGCTGTTAAGTGGAGAGATGCTGAGTTGGATTCTCTTTGTGTTCAGGCATGTGAATGGAAGACCAATGCTTCCCTGGCTCTCCTGAACCAAACTCAGAACCTGATTATTGGATTTGGCCTGTTGGCCGGATCCCTGCTTTGTGCATACTATGTTACAGTGGACAAGTTTCAAGTACAGTAATCGCCACTCATAAAATTATGAAATCTTATTTTTTTAAATTATTGGTCCTGAGCATATTTTGTTGTTCCTATAATAGGTTGGTGACTATGTTCTTTTTGGAACCTACATTATTCAGCTCTACACTCCACTCAACTGGTTTGGTACATATTATAGGTAAGCTTAGAGGAAGATTATCTGTGGCCAGATTCATTTATTATTTTTCTTGTTTATATATTTACAGTTTTGGCAATTACCAGACTTTTCTGTTTGTTTCTCCCTTGACTTATTTTGTTTTACTATTATGTTTTCACAGAATGATCCAAAGTGCATTTGTTGACATGGAGAGCATGTTTGAACTGCTAACAGAGGAAAAAGAGGTGAGTGGCCACTGTGGACACTTTGAGTCATTTAGTAGTCAAGCCAAAGGTAAATCTTTTATAAATCAGTAAATCTAAATCAGTTTGCACAGAACAAGTACTGGTCTAGTCAATTCCTAGGAGCCCCATTGCGGCCTCTCTGGACGTGCCAGTGTTGGTCTTGTTGACCAGTGAGTGTTGATTTATTGTCATGACCTCCTGCACTTACTCAAGTTACCCCTGTCCTTTTGGGAATCCTCTCCTCAAAGTCACACAACCAACAGCTGGCCATTCCTCGACACTCCCAGTCCCTTTAGATTCTATTCATATGCAAATAATCTTACTAAAACCCTTATTTGATCTTCACATTTCTTTTTATATACTCGAAAAAGCTGTCGGAGCTAATTTGCAAACTGATTCTTGAATTTGACTTGAAAGAGGCCTCAGTATTTTTGCCATGGTTTCAGTTTTAATGCATTCTTCAGGTTTGCTTAATTCACTGTCAGCCCAGTGCCATGCTTTTCTACATGTGTCCTGTGGTACATGCCAAAATTGCCCTCTGCTGTAGGTAAAGGATGATGTGAATGCAGGAGACCTTTTGTTCACAGAAGGAAGGGTTGATTTCCAGAACGTGTGCTTTAGTTACACTGCTGGGTGAGTCATGCTAATGTCATTATGAACTTTTTGTTGTTGTTGGAGAACAGTGCTTTTGACATCTATATGTTTTTGAGTTAGCATCTTTGAAATTTTGTTTCCTATTTTTTGTCTACAGGAAAGAAATTCTCAGTGAAATCTCATTCACAGTGATGCCTGGTCAGACAGTTGCACTGGTAAAATGACATCTAAATTGTTCATTTGTGAATACCGTGTACTAAAACGTTTATAGAATGAGAAAGTGTGCATAGGAGCAAGATGTTCATTCACCCCTGCTAATGTCTTATTTAACAGGTTGGTCCATCCGGATCAGGAAAAAGCACCATCATCCGTTTGCTTTTCCGTTTTTATGACGTGCAGGGTGGCTGCATCCTCATCGATGGTCAGGACATCTCTAAGGTCAGGAAACATGACAATAGAGACACTTTTATGGTCGGATGTTAAAGCTTCTATAGAAAATTGTATAAAATTACCAAAGCAGAATCTGTTAGATTTTAAAGAAATACTTCAATTTTGTTAACATTTAGTTAGCATTCTAAATCCAAAAGACTTCTGTTCATCTTCAAAACACAAAATGAAGATATTATTAATATTCTCCTAATTTTTGTCCATCTGTTGAAAGTTTATGTAATGAACATTTGCAAGCTTCAAAACGTAAATTTTTCTGCGGGTCTTAAAAAGTCTTAATTCACCCTTTCACAATTTAAAGCCTTAAAAAGGTCTTCAATCAGAGCATCAGAGTCTTAAATTCAAAATCATGGCATTAAATTGCACTGCAAAAAAAGAAAGAAAAGAAAACAAAAATACAGAGAAGTGTATTCAAGAACAAATATCTAAACATCCTTAAATCAAGATACATTTACTTGAAATGCAAAATTATAATATGAAGTCTTGTTTTCTGAAAAAATGAACAAAATTAAGTGAGTTTGTGTAAAACAAGAACAAATATCAGACAAAATATGTCAGTGTTTTATGAAAATTACTTTTCTCTTTGAATCAAGTTGATTTTAGCATATATTTGTTCTTGTTTTACACAAAATTTTGGTCAATTTCTCATATAAAAGTGAAAGTTTATGTAATGAACATTTGCAAGCTTCAAAACGTAAATTTTTCTGCGGGTCTTAAAAAGTCTTAATTCACCCTTTCACAATTTAAAGCCTTAAAAAGGTCTTCAATCAGAGCATCAGAGTCTTAAATTCAAAATCATGGCATTAAATTGCACTGCAAAAAAAGAAAGAAAAGAAAACAAAAATACAGAGAAGTGTATTCAAGAACAAATATCTAAACATCCTTAAATCAAGATACATTTACTTGAAATGCAAAATTATGATATGAAGTCTTGTTTTCTGAAAAAATGAACAAAATTAAGTGAGTTTGTGTAAAACAAGAACAAATATCAGACAAAATATATGTCAGTGTTTTATGAAAATTACTTTTCTCTTTGAATCAAGTTGATTTTAGCATATATTTGTTCTTGTTTTACACAAAATTTTGGTCAATTTCTCATATAAAAGATGTCTTATTTTGCCATTTTGCTTCTCAAGTATCTTGATTTAAGGATGTTTTGACACTGGAACATTTGCACTGGAAAACAAGACGAAAATATTGAGGAAGAACATCACTTTTTTTGCTGTGTGATCAGAAGGTACAGTAAAAGTTATTGTTTTGAGCAGAGCTATTATGATGTATGATGGTAAAAGTAATGGAGATCTATTGGAAGTACAAGACCATGTTGGTGTATTGCGTTCCCTTCAATTTCCTTGCATTTTCTTTACTTGGTCATAAAGTCCTTAATTTATTTTTATAAAACCTACAGAAACCCTGAGAAAGACATTGTAAAATTAATCTATATGAATTTGACCAAGTCATATGAATATGAAAAATTTTGCAAACCAAAATTCTTTCCAGGATGTATGGGAGTGAGTAAACTGAGTTCACCTTTGCATCACAGGTCACATTGTCGCCTATATTCCTCTTCCTGTTTTAAAAGTTACCATGATTTTATGCATAAGAGAAGCTGCATATTTTATAGGTCTAGACTGCAGCTATAAAAAACATTTTAAGATTATACCAGCTATCTCTCTCAACCCCACCTGCATGTCTGCTGACCCCAAGGTTGAAAACCTCTAATGTAGGGTTGAAATAGTGACAGGGCTGATGTTAGACGGCAAGAGTGTCTGACTGACTGAAGAGGACGAAGTGCTTGCATTAAAATGTGAAAAATTAATTTCCTACCAAGCTTACGTCAGACAGTCTGCTTGAAGAAATCGTTCATGAGTTTTAGTCACAATTTGATCTCAGAGTGCTCTTGGTAGTGCACTAATAGCATTGATAATGAATAATGTTGTTATTGGCGTCTTGCATTTAAATGGTGAAGTTATTTTAAGCACATGCAGTGTCAAACTTTTATATCTTCTAAATCCATCAGACTTTAATGCTCTGCTCTCAGGAATACAAATGCTTGTACATCGTAGAGCAGTGTGTAACAGTAGCCTGTTTGAGGTCATGTTATACCAGACCGTACAAGCTGTCACACTGTTAACTACAATGCAGTGACACCAGTGATGTAAGATGCAACCATAGATCATATAACCTCCACTACACATGACAAGGTTCTAGGAATATGATTTACTATTGCCTCTTATTTCTAAGTAAACCTGCCCCCTGTGAATTAATCATAGTAAGAGAGACGTAAATAATGAATATGGAGCTGTAAGCTGCTTTTACTCCAGTGTCCTGGGGGAGACGGTGGCCTCTTACACAGCGTTGGTCTCTGCTCAGAGCTGCTTTAGGGTTTCCGCGGGTCTTAAAGTCGGCATGAAATCAAAATGGACAATTCTTATTTTTTGATGGAATACTGTAGTGTTTATTATAAATAATTTATCCGTGCACTTCATTATTTTTTTTTAATTCATGTGCCCTCGTAATCTTTA